TGGTTTTTGTGGGGCGGGGGGGGCTCGCGCAAATTGCCCCCCCCCCCCCCCCCCTCTCCCCCATCCGAGCTCCTTATTCGCTTTAGTTACAATTTGGCTGTTCACCCCAAAAATCGACCATCATTCCCGCTACCCCTCTACGTGTAAAATAACGCGATTCCCCATTGGCATCCCATTGGCACTGTTTTCTTGACACTACCTAAGACAACTACTGCAAGACAGGTTCGCTGAGAACTGCTCGCTCAAAAAAGTATGAACTCGTCACTGTGACAATGCTTTTTAGGTAGGCATCTACTGGTAGAGTACGGACTAGCAGACAAGAAAATGTTAAAACTGAACGAACTGGTACAATTGATCCAACCGGCTGACATCCAGGTACGTTACTCATCTTTTTTGTCAAACTATTTATTTTAATTAGATTTTTTTTGAATATTCAGCAACTTACGCATAAAACCATCATGGCAAACCTGAATACGTTGTTCATTTTCCAATTGAAACACCACTGTAAACGAAATGAAGTGGAAAAAGGTTCCAGTGAAGCGTTTCAACAACCGCTTTGCCTTAAAGGTAAGCCGATCAGACATGGAATACGCCATGAATAGGTGTTAAGGCAAAAATTTTAGGCCAAATGCTGCCTACATGTGATGGTAACTACATCATCTTCCTCTGTTCACCGTATGTTACTACAGTGAGAGATTTTGTTGATTTGAAACTTTACCTCTCCGATATGCCAATGTACGATGCAACACGCGATCTCGTCATGCTCAATCAGAGTCGAATATGTCAAATGGAACTCAAGTAAGCAACACGTTCATATTCTATGCATACAGCTCATCTAGTTTGAAATTTTTCAAAAAATTCCCGGAAAGTCTGAGGCCAATCTATCTTTACGACAAATTTTAAATCAATAGAAATGAGGAGGCTGGCCATGAGTTCAACTCATGGCTTATTTTAAAGACCCAAGGGCCAATCATTCACTTTCAGCCACCCACTTCAGCACCGTAGTCTTATAAATGTACGGCCTTTTTTGATTAATCGAGTGTCTTAAAAATCACCATCGTATGATATCTTGCTCCTTCTTCTGACCTCTTCTATCTCTTCTCTTCTTCCCAGCGATAATCTCACTAAGTCAAAGATTCCGTGGATAGATGAATAAGTAATGAATTAAGCTAACAACGAATAACCCGAATCTTTTGCATCTTTATTATTTACGTTTTCATGTCAAGTTTCTCAAATTTTCTATGATTACAGCAAGAAATTGGAAGAGACTGTCCGTCAATTGAAGGCATTGGCTGAAGATCTGGAACGAAAGAAACAGCGAACAGAGCATCTACTTTACGAATTCGTTCCAGCAGCGATCGCAGAATCGTTTCGCCTTGGCAAACCCGTACCACCTCGTACGTTCCTCCCCTACCAATACTGTATACATTTGTAAAAATCGATTTCCATTGCCCAAGTCGGTGCTCATGTAAATGTGAGTCAGAAAGGCAAAAAATTGGGGAGGGCGAGGGGGGTTGACTTTAGCCAACCTGTTCGAAGTTATTCCTTCAGGGTAGTACTTAATTTTTGATTGAATTATTTACTTATTCCAGAGGAGTACAGTGAATGTACGGTAATGTTCACGGATGTTCCCGATTTTCCTACAATTAATGGAAGCTGTCATCCTGCGCAGGTATGTGATAGGTTACTGGTTGGAAAACAAAAAATTTCTAATATTCGATGATTATTTAGAGTTTCACCAATTCCTTTGAGGTATTTTAATTTAATTTCGATTCGAAAAAGAGTCATCCATCGGAAGGGAAGGATTACTGGGGGTATCCACCCTTACAGGTGCTCTCGCCCTTAGGCCGGGCGAAAAGTTCTATCCTTATTTCCAGCAAAGCAATCATTGCCACACTCCTACAAAGCCGGCGACCCAACATTCCTGCTCCAATCAAGCCTCCCATCCCTCCCAGGTTAAAGGTACCGTTCACAAAAAAGTTAGGGTACCCTTTTTTGACGGGAATTGATAGAACTACTCTAGAATAAAGTGATAACAACGAAAAAAGCGCAAAAAAACGATGAACAAAAAGAATTACAAAGGGTCAAAAAAAGAGCTGGAAAGGGGGGTT